CTGTATAAATTTTTGTAGAATGATATTTGCTGTTATTGGGTACATGTGGAGATCTCAGATGTTTTTGTTTATTTCGTGGAAGCTTAGGGATATTGGGTCTAGGCAGGGATAGAGAGAATCCACAGGAGGGTCCGATGGGTCGACCAGCCTGAGTGTGGACATTTTGGATTGTATTTTGTTTGCTGAGGCTTTCATGTGTATTTAATTGCATCATAGTTTCAAATGCATTGATAAAGATGTATGAATTGATCTGGAGTACTTAGGTGGTTGCCTGGGGCAGAGGGGCCGTGAGATAATTTTACTGTCTTGATTGATTGATGGATATTTGGAAAGAAGGCTGCCAGACAGGTTTTTCGCTCTCACACTCCATAGAGATTTGTTCATATTTCATAGAAATGTATTCACACTCCATAAAGATTTGTTCATATTTCATAGAAATGTATTTACACTCCATAGAAAAATGTGTTTTTGGTTTATTGTTGAAAGATACTCAATAAGAGAGAAATTGTTATTTGTCATAATCCTATTCTTTTTGTTTTCGAGACTTAATTTGTCTCGAAGGGGGGAATATGTAGTATCTGAGGAATTATGACTTTGCTAACGTTTTCAAATGGTAGCTTAGAAAATGTTGATTTGGCCCAGGGAGACATCTGGAGAGCAGTTCTATAGGAGTACCCTAAAGCAGAGGAAGTCTGTTAGGTGACCTCCTGGGAGTGGTCTGTAGGGGAAACACCCATGTCAGATTACATAGGATATATACTATGGTTTGGGACAAAGGACGGGGAGAATAGCATATTTGAATTTGGGTCGGGCTGTTCTCCGGGTGTCTGCAGACATCCATAAATTGAAGCTGTAACCCTTTGTTATGAATAAACCTTTATGATCAAAGTACAGCGTCAGCGGACTCCTTGGTCTCACAGCAAAGATTAGCATTATTCTTTGTAAACAACACCAGCAAGCTTATGGTGAAGATAAGAAATAATGTTTTAAGTTAACGATCAGTTAAATGTCCATTATGTGATTTCAGATAGAAATGTGAGTTATAGCTCTGTCATTCTCATTGAAAGCAAGTCTGATACACATGACATCTGTGATTCCCCCTCCATACGCTTTAGCTTCTTTTTACTTTCGGTCTTGTACATCAGGTTCAAATAGAAAATATATTTCACAGTAGTTTAGGTGATACATGGCTCGCTGTGACAAACTAAAATCAGGTGAACATGAAAACATTTTAGAAACCAGGAAATGCTGGAGCTATTTCTACAATTTGCACCTTTAATTATAAGACAGTCTCGGTTTCTTAACTCTGGTCTCACCTCATCGTTCCACACACAGTAAGGTGAAGAAACAATCTTGGTTTTACCTTGACGATGACCTTCATGGCCAATGTTGAATGTTTATAATTTTAAGCTTAGAAAAGAGACCCTTAAACCCAGAATTGGGACCACACAGCCACTCCACTGAATAGCAGGCTAGTGATTGCTTTGCAATGCTTGCAGTTAGCCACTGATTCCTTCCAAACCACTCACTGTTGAATTTGTGATTTCCAACTTGTTGTGTAATGTTTATGTCCAATGGCCGATGAGCACGGATACGTTTTATCTATAATTTCTCTTCACTATTTCTCTTCATATGACAAAGATTAAAAAGGATTTGCCAGTAGATTGTGGACTTGATTCATGATGATGACTGCTAGCTAAGATTTTGAAATTATGATGTTGACATGATCAATCCAATCAAAGCTACTGTAGATACAATGTGATTTCACGTCATTTTATCTGTGGCCAATGACCTTGAGCCTTCTTGGATGGGCACTTCTAATGTAACTCTATGGCAGCACCCAAGGGGCTTGAATTTTCGAGCTCTACCCTTAGATTTGGCAGTGACATAGTGTCCCCATGAGTGACAGAACACTGAGCCAATCACGGCGCAACTAGAGAACATTACCAACCCTTACGCTCCGTATTCTCCGCTGGCTGCCCCACCACCACAGAAAGCAGAGAGCTAGGCTGAAACACCTGCATTTTAGAGTTGCCTTCCTCAAGAAAGCAAAAAAGAGACCATGTTTGTATGCGACTTTATTAACTGAAATATTTGTTTTTTAGTTTTTACATTGTTTGCAAACTGATATGTGACACATATTAATGCCAAAATAACATGCAAAACAGGCAATTTCTTACCTAAAAGCAAAAATGCCAAATTGAGAATGTAAGCAGTGAGGGCAGCAGCTGTTATTGCTGTTTTATCGACAGTAGCCTAATTAGCTGTTACCAGTAACGTTAATTAGCAACCAAACGCAGGAAAAATGTAGCAAGCTAACGTTACTATAGCGAAATAACACTAAATTACAAATCTTAAAATATACTATAACCAAAGAATGTACTAACCTCCGACCCAATCATATAATAATCCCCATCTTCTTCAAGCTGGAATTTGACAGGTTTTTGTCCAAATGTATTACTAATGTGGTCCTCTGTAGCTCAGCTGGTAGAGCACGGCGCTTGTAACGCCAAGGTAGTGGGTTCGATCCCCGGGACCACCCATACACAAAAAAAATGTATGCACGCATGACTGTAAGTCGCTTTGGATAAAAGCGTCTGCTAAATGGCATATTATTATTATTATTATAAGTGCCTTATTGAAAATAACACTAACCATTTGTTATGACATCTGGGATACGGATCCTCGGGACATCCCTACCCTTAACCACTAACCTTAACCCTTACCTGAACAATTTCAAATGTAAACTTCAATGGAGTAGGGACATCCCAGGGATAAGATACTGTAGCCTATGTTCATCATATATGTTTTCCTGTGAATATTCTTCAATTGTTGTAATTTATTGTGTAGGCTGTATGAGGGCATCAAACTGTTGATCTGTTTATACCAGGGGTGAGGATTCCTATTACATCTGCCAAGGAAGGAGCCATCTTCTCACCTGACTTGAACTAAATTACACCAAAACAATGAGTGAAATTAGTGAGTATTTACTTTTGTAAACTTTTTATTTGTATATACATGAGTATATATTAATCTATAAATATGTAAGAGAGGAAATAATGTACAATGCATAGCAAAATCTCTGTACAAACCAATAAATAATGCCAGGTCAACAAATACATAAACAAAGACAATTCCATATGACATCTTAATATTTTAAGTTCTTAAATAATTAAGAATAGAAAAGCATGAGACAAGACACTGCAAATACATATGAAGGTTTTAACTCTATGATAATGGCAATGCCAACAGATACTGCCAAATTAATATGCAGAGGAGGACCAGTCATTCCAGGTAAAGCAAAGCAAGCAAATTATGTAAATTATGAATAACACCACAAAACAACCAGGGATCAATCAAGTGGTAGTAAACACAGAAAGTTATGTAAAGCATAAAATATACTGAACCATTTCAAATGTCAAGAGTCAAATGAGTTACTTTTACTATTCAGGAAAGTGGTCCGGTTTCTCCAAGGGTAACCAGTAATAACCACACAGCCACCTAGGCTTGAACAGTGTATCTGAGGTTCTTAGAATGAAACAAATATTGTATTTTGAGAGTCACAGACACCCCCCCTCATCCTCCCTCACCCACCTAACTCATCTCTTTGGCACATATAGGGAGGGGTAAACCAGTTGCCACCTTTTCTCCACGACCTGAAATATTTTCTACCACCACATGGAGCTCTTATCTATTCTCCGTCACGGTTGAGGTTTCCCCTTTAATTGTGTCATAATGGAGAGCGAGACAGAGAGAGAATGTGTGTTCACAGTGCTCTGCATATAAGGGAGCCAATCAGAGTGATCGACAAAGACCCAATCACAGTGTAAGGGAGCAAATCACAGTGAGGGAGTTTGATTAAGTGCACCAGGCTATGGCCCATGACGTGAACGGGCAAAAGCGGTAAGGGAGGAGCGCCCTTCTCAAATTGAACTGTAATCTGCGCCACTCGGTCATGTTGTCAACAAGGCAGCATGATGCATCGTTCAGAAACATACAACATCTCTTTTCCATAAAATATATGTTTGAATTTTCAAATTAGTTTTCATTGGGAAGGCAGATAAAGCCTTTTTATCAAAAGCAATCATTCTGCATGTGAAAACACAGAATCCTACTAATTAAACCACGTGCTTAACCTACGTCACTTTTGTTTAGAGCCGACTTCGCCATTGACCAAAACGGGGCACATGGCTCACGCCTGGGAGGCAGCCCGGTTACAAAGCTAATGCAATCAACGCTAACCCAGTTCACTCGGGGCAGGCTGGGGCATTAATTGAATGCCCCCAGTGACACAGCACAGCACAGCAGAGATAACCAATCATTATGCTATGTATGTCCTCCCAAAAAATAACTCTTCTAGGCCATGGATAGTTAACATCATTGGGGAGTTTCCACCATATTGCTATTACTCATCTCTATGGTCCTATCATGGTCATCAAGGAAAGGACACATATTTAAAAAGCAATTTAAGGGGGTTGGGACCAGTCGTATGAAAGTCCCAAAGTCATGCTTGTCTTCACCCCAAAAAGTTTAGAAAAAATGAAGGTGAATAATTGACCTTTAGAAAATGTACATTTAGCAGCAGTCCCGTAGCAAAGTAAAGGTTGGCAAAAACAACTAAAGCAATAGCCTAACTGTAATGGGAACATCGTCAAACCATTGCAAAGTAATGCTGATATTATATTGTGAAGCTGGGTATTTTTTTATACCCTAATACTGTATCTCTATCACGCCTCTGTTTTTGTCTTCTTTTACACCTAACTCTCAGTAATCTTTCAAATGTTTATTTTGAGCATATTGAGCCCCATTGCTACATCCTTCTTCCTTATAGGGGTTATAATTCAATATAACAAGATGTCTCTTGGCTGCTCTTAATAGAGTGTACACTACTCACACCTTGTTTTCTCTGAAATGGGCACAGACTTTGACCTATATTCAATATGGCAGCGTCTGCAGTAAACTCTTCAAACTTACAAAAGACCACCTCTCCATCTAATCACACCGGGATAGCACACCAGGCCACTTTTGTTTTCTGTACGTTCCTTCCTTGCGCTCCTGTTAACTATATTTACTAACACCCCTCTTATCATCACAGAGTCAGAGAGTGTGTAACATGACCAGATATTCCACATATATCTGTAAACACCATTGACACAAACTCAGGCACGAAGGGCTAGGGACAACACATTGTTAAGCTCCCAATAATCAAGGCCTGAGCCAAGAAGACATCAGTCGTTTCAGGCTTGTCTGGAGAGTCCTGGTCTGGACACAATTTTGTTGATACCGGTAAGTGCTTCTCCTGCTTTGCTGCCTGCTTATGATGCATGCAGACAGTTCTTGTTTTACACTAGGCTCCATCTCTAGTGTAGTTCTCAGATCCTTTAGTTATGGTGGATTTAGAGGGCCTTAATACAGCAGACTGACAGAGAGCTGGGACACTCGCCCTCAGAAGAACCCTTTGGCAATTTTATGGCCCTTCTGCTTCATGCGGGGCAGCGTAGAGCTGGCTACACTCTTGACCCGGCCTGTCTTGGCCAAGCTACGTTTCTTCAGCACAAAGTCATAGTTGGCGGTAGAGTTCATGGCATAGAAAACGTTGGCATTGTCTGGGATCCGCAGCTCTATAGGGTGAGAGGAGAGGTGTATATATTGTTAGTAAAAACATTTGTTTTCCAGGTAAGTAATGAATAAGTTAGCACACTATACAAGATGGATGGATAAGTGTGGCAGTTGTAAGAACAACAAATTGATATACTATTAATGACAAACTGTTTGAATGATAATGAAAAGTATTATATGGGTGACAACGAAATATGAAAAAGTCCAATGCAGACGTTTTTATCTCAATATCAAATCATTTCTGTCGTAATGGGTCGATTGATACCGGAGCTCCGATGCAGTTTTCAAAGCACTATCAAAGATTTTTTATAACTAAACCAAGATAGACCACAGCCCTTAGTTTCAAACGGGAACAAATGAGTCATAGTGGGCAGAACAAGCAAGGAGGTAGGCAGAGCCAAGCATGAGTAAGCGAGATCCTATTGGTGCGTTCTAGCATAAATTTGCATATTTCAGTTAGGGAACGCCTACTTTGAAGTGCGCGTGTGCAATAACTCAATTCGCCTTTGCACTCCTAAACAATGCAATTTTTTAAAACTTTGGCAAAGGGTAAAGTCTACAAAACTTAGTCCACTCTGTTCGTTACATACAGTGGGGAAAAAAAGTATTTAGTCAGCCACCAATTGTGCAAGTTCTCCCACTTAAAAAGATGAGAGAGGCCTGTAATTTTCATCATAGGTACACGTCAACTATGACAGACAAATTGAGGAAAAAAAATCCAGAAAATCCCATTGTAGGATTTTTAATGAATTTATTTGCAAATTATGGTGGAAAATAAGTATTTGGTCACCTACAAACAAGCAAGATTTCTGGCTCTCACAGACCTGTAACTTCTTCTTTCAGAGGCTCCTCTGTCCTCCACTCGTTACCTGTATTAATGGCACCTGTTTGAACTTGTTATCAGTATAAAATACACCTGTCCACAACCTCAAACAGTCACACTCCAAACTTCACAATGGCCAAGACCAAAGAGCTGTCAAAGGACACCAAAAACAAAATTGTAGACCTGCACCAGGCTGGGAAGACTGAATCTGCAATAGGTAAGCAGCTTGGTTTGAAGAAATCAACTGTGGGAGCAATTATTAGGAAATGGAAGACATACAAGACCACTGATAATCTCCCTCGATCTGGGGCTCCACGCAAGATCTCACCCCGTGGGGTCAAAATGATCACAAGAACGGTGAGCAAAAATCCCAGAACCACACGGGGGGACCTAGTGAATGACCTGTAGAGAGCTGGGACCAAAGTAACAAAGCCAACCATCAGTAACACACTACGCCGCCAGGGACTCAAATCCTGCAGTGCGAGACGTGTCCCCCTGCTTAAGTCAGTACATGTCCAGGCCCGTCTGAAGTGCATTTGGATGATCCAGAAGAGGATTGGGAGAATGTCATATGGTCAGATGAAACCAAAATAGAACTTTTTGGTAAAAACTCAACTCGTCATGTTTGGAGGACAAAGAATGCTGAGTTGCATCCAAAGAACACCATACCTACTGTGAAGCATGGGGTTGGAAACATCATGCTTTGGGGCTGTTTTTCTGCAAAGGGACCAGGACGACTGATCCGTGTAAAGGAAAGAATGAATGGGGCCATGTATCGTGAGATTTTGAGTGAAACCCTCCTTCCATCAGCAAGGGCATTGAAGATGAAACGTGGCTGGGTCTTTCAGCATGACAATGATCCCAAACACACCGCCCGGGCAACGAAGGAGTGGCTTCGTAAGAAGCATTTCAAGGTCCTGGAGTGGCCTAGCCAGTCTCCAGATCTCAACCCCATAGAAAATCTTTGGAGGGAGTTGAAAGTCTGTGTTGCCCAGCGACAGCCCCAAAACATCACTGCTCTAGAGGAGATCTGCATGGAGGAATGGGCCAAAATACCAGCAACAGTGTGTGAAAACCTTGTGAAGACTTACAGAAAACGTTTGACCTGTGTCATTGCCAACAAAGGGTATATAACAAAGTATTGAGAAACTTTTGTTATTGACTTTAGTTTTGGGAACTGAAAACTGTATTGAGATTAAATGTTTAATCGATGAGAAAATTAGCAGAATGTCGGCCAAAATCCATCTCGTTCCATCTTCTCCCACTGCCGGCCACTGGGCTTCCTCTCACTACCATATTTGGTAGTGAATGGAAACGCCAAGCGGATGCTTCACATTTATACATCATGTGAAATATCTGTCTCATTGTTCTATCTGTGGCACTATTGATCCGACACAATGTCTGATGCTCATTTCAAAGTAACATCATCATGTGATCAACGACGTCCAAAGTTTTTTATCACAGGATTTTTCTAACCGTGCTTTGCAAAAATCGAGATCCCACTGATTTCGCCGTGGTTCCAGTGCTTTCTTCGATTCCAAGCTGCTTTCAAACACCGACCTCTACTGAACACTGTACTTACAATGTAGTTAGGATTTTTTATTGAAGTGTAACCTGAACGGTAGCTCAGCAGGTTGAGTCGAGGTCTTAGGGACCAGGGCCCAGATTCAAAAAACCTTCTTAAGAAGACATTTCTTCTTAACTACCATTTGTTCCTTAATTGTAGATTTAAGAAGAAAGTTAAGCAAAGTTGCTATTCCTCAAAAAGGTTATTGGACATTTTCTTGCGCTATTTCTTATGTTTCTCCTTAAGCAAAAAGTTAAGAAGAAATTAGATTCTTGAAAATAAAGTTATTGGAAATGTTCTTAATTCCAAGATAGCTAAACCCTTGTCTTAAACTCAAGGCAGTGAGAGAAAAAGCTCATAAAAGCAATTGAAACTGTTTAATTCACTCACAAACTTCATCTGAAAGTTTCAGTATTGATTATTTTAAACCCAAGAACATGTTTTAGAACAGTAATCTCAGTAAGAAATATGCTAACATGATTGCCATTGCTAGCTAGATCGCAAGCTAAAACGGTTGCCTAGCAACAAACATCTGAAGAAGATTTGTAAGAAGATATTTGAGAAGTTCGCAAGAAAATCATATTTTGTTTCTTAAGAATGGATAGCAATTAAGTACTGTGATCGTTTTCAATTAAAATGGTCAAAAAGAAACAAAAAAAGCTTCTTAGCAAAGAGACATTTCTCAAGGAAGATTTTTGCTAGGACTGTCTGGGAGTGGTCTGAGTGGGGAGGTGGAAAACAGAAAACCAGCTGTTATTGGCAGAGCAGTTTGGAACTCTTTTTCTATTGATCGATTAACTGATGTCACCAGGCAGGCCAAAACTCCATCCCACCAAAACAGGCAGAAATTTTATTTTCAACCAGCTCTTACACTAAATGGCCATTATTATCATTTTCACAATTTCACAGTATTATTTCAACCTCATATTGTGGAGATATATATAAAACACAGGAAAATCACGTTTTTGACTGCACTGGGCCTTTAACATCTTTTTTTGGTAAATTATTATATTACCTTTTTCTTCAGAGATTTTCTGCATCAGCTCATAGTCCTCAGCTTTCTCTTGCTCCAGGTTGTGTTTCACCATGGCTTTCCTGATGACTGCTGGCATCTTGTCCTGACTGGTCACCTGCACCAGGAGATAAAGAATACATTTTTAATTGACATTTAAAACTGATTTGCCTGAAATCTCTTCTCTGGCTCAGACATTGTTAATTGAATCAACCGCTCTCTGCTAACAATTAATTTTCCACAACAAAAACATTTCACAAGAAATGGATCTATCAATCTATAATAACTCTCTCCTGCTCCTCCTCCTTTGTCTTACCAGGATGCTCTTGTACATGTTGCCGTTGTCCACGTCCAGGCTGACTCTGATGATGCAGCAGTCATCCACCTGCTGGTTGTAGCGGGGCAGGGAAAGGGTGGAGTAGCAGGATACGGCTGAGACTGAGCGCTTGTGGGAGCGGGAGGCGCCTGGGAGAGGAGTGGAGGAGGACACAGAGGAGGATGAAGCGCTGCTGGAGCCTGAACCAGAACCCATCCCTGATGTGTCTAGAGATGACAGGGAAGTGGACTCCCAAAACTAGAGAAAAAGATAGAGAGATTGATTACAACCATTTACAATCCACAGAACAAGCTTCTGTTGCAGAGTGGCATGCTGCAATAAACAAATAAAATGTGAAATGTGAAGGTATGAGTCGTATGTATGAAGATGATGAGGATGAGAAGCTGAGAAGTAATGTCTGTAGTGAGAAAGGAGGTTAGAAAAGAAGAAAACCCCTAGTGTTAGAGTGAGAGGGTTAGAAAGAAAAGGCTAGTGAGTGGAAGTACCGTGAAGTTGGGATCAGGAGTTTGGCACTCTTTCCCCAAAGCAGAGACGGAATGTTTTACTGAGGATGTAGAGGTCTATAGCAGGAATCAGAGCCACAGTTAGCCAAAAGTCAGACCGGTAAAGTAAGTACATGGGGCAGTGTCAATTCTCATGGCCCTTAATCATTATAGAAGATTAATTCAAAGACATGATGATGTCTGGACTGAAATTGCTGCAGCGATGCTGTAATTTCAGTATCTCAGAAAAAAATCAAGATGGATGTGTGTGGCATGATGAGATGCCTCTGCATCTGGTGGGATTGTTCTCCTCACCTTTCTCTCGTGGGCGTCCGGTGAGTCGGACAGGAAGCTGGCGTTGATATCCTCCAGGTCAGAGCCGCTGGAGCCGGCTGAGGTGACGCTGACGGTGTCCCCACTATCAACTCCCCCTCCCTGGTACGGCCTGAAGTGGGACTGGTCAAACGACTTGGAGTGGGAGCTTCCTGCACTGCTGCAGCTGGCCTCAGTTAACTGGCGACTGGAGATGGAGGAAAACACAGAGATGTATGAGAATGGGGCCTCTAAAAACATCAGACTGTACACAATGGAAAACACACCGGGTAAGGATGTATGCTAAAAATAAAAATGTCAACTACACTGAACAAAAATATAAACGCAACATGCAACAATTTCTAAGATTTTACTGAGTTACAGTTCATATAAGGAAATCATACAATTGAAATAAAAATAATTAGGCCCTAATCTCTGGATTTCACATGACTGGGAATGCAGATACGCATTTGTTAGTCACAGATACCTTTAAAAAAAGGTAGGGGTGTGCATCAGAAAACCAGTCAGTATCTGGTGTGACCACCATTTGCCTCATGCTGCGTGACACATCTACTTCGCATAGAGTTGATCAGGCTGTTGATTGTGGCCTGGGGAATGTTGTCCCACTCCTCTTCAATGGCTGTGAAGTTGCTGGATATTGGCGGGAACTGGAACACGCTGTTGTACATGTCGATCCATAGCATCCCAAACATGCAAAAACTGGGACATTTTCAGCTTCCAGGAATTGTGTACAAAGATCCTTGCGACATGGGGCCGTGCAGTATCATGCTAAAAAATGAGGTGATGGCTGCGGATGAATTGCACGACAATGGGCCTCAGGATCTCATCACGGTATCTCTGTGCATTCAAATTGCCATTGATCAAATGCAATTGTGTTCGATTTCTGTAGCTTATGCCTGCCTGCCCATACCATAACCCCACCGCCACCATGGGGTACTCTGTTCACAACATTAACATCAGCAAACCGCTCGCCCACATGACGCCATACATGCTGTCTGCCATCTACCCAGTACAGTTGAAACTGGCATTCATCCGTGAAGAGCACACTTCTACAGCATGCCAGTGGCCATTAAAGGTGAGCATTTGCCCACTGAAAGTCGGTTACGACGCCGAACTGCAGTCAGGTCAAGACCCTGGTGAGGACAACGAGCACACAGATGAGCTTCCAGAGACCATTTTTGACAGTTTGTGCAGACATATTTCGGTTGTGCAAACCCACAGTTTCATCAGCTGTCCGGATGGCTGGTCTCAGACGATCCCGCAGGTGAAGAAGCCGGATGTGAAGGTCCTGGGCTGGCATGGTTACACTTGGTCTGGGGTTGTGAGGCCAGTTGGACGTACTGCGAAATTCTCTAAAACGACGTTGGAGGCGGTTTATGGTAGAGAAATGAACATTCAATTAACTGGTAACAGCTCTGGTGAACATTAGTGCAATCAGCATGCCAATTGCACGCTCCCTCAAAACTTGACACATCTGTGGCATTGTGTTGTGTGACAAAACTGCACCTGTGTAATGATCATGCTGTTTAATCAGCTTCTTGATATGCCACACCTGTCAGGTGGATTAATTATCTTGGCAAAGGAGAAATGCTCACTACCAGGGATGTAAACAAATGTGTGTACAACACTTGAGAGAAATAAGCTTTTTGTTTGTATGGAACATTTCTGTGATATTTTATTTCAGCTCATGAAACATGGGACCAACACTTTACATGTTGCGTTTATATTTATGTTCAGTATATAATACATTTAGGGATAGTGTGAAAAGTTGTTTATAAAATATGGGACTTACTCGCTCCAGCGTTTCATGATGCCCCCGTTCTTCTTGGCTCTGAGAGTGTTGCTGGCGGACTCTGACAGCGGTTCAATCTCACAGGACAGAGTGTAGCTGTGAACAAAAGACATGGAAATGACAACACTGTATGCCCATATACATTTCATTATTTTAATTTACATTTCATCAAAATCCTTAGGCCTCTCCTCACCTCTCTGCCTCACTGAGTCTCTCCACTTCTGAGAACCAATCCCTGAAGAGGCTGTCCTGGGTGAAACTGTAGTTGTTTGACGCCAGCTGCAGCAGCTTAATCTGAGCTATCACCTCAAACTCCTGCAGAGAGAGAGAGAGCGGGGGGGGGGGGGGGGGGTGAGTCTCTGCCAGTCACCTCTGATGGGTCACAACCATAATGCCGGGGTGTCTCCCTGTTTATCAACACCTATTTATTAGAGGCACATATGAATTGAATTTACCTTTCGTCGCTTCTCAAAGTTGATGAGTCCACTCTGGAATAGAAAACAAATAACAATAAGATGTGGGCATCTTTTCATGTTGCTATAAACAGACTAAACAAGTAGACTGAAGAGGCTACAGGATCCAGAGATAGCTAGAGATAGACTCTCACCTCTGTGAAGTCTTTCATAGCCGTGTCCATCATGACCAGGTCAGTGAGGAAGGTGCCCAGGTAAGGAATGGTCCCCTGCATCACCCCCTGGGACAGAGACAGAGTCAGAGAGAGGAGTTATGAGAGGGAAGTGACCACAGGAGCAATTTCACTCATATTACCACTAGATGGCGCTATGAACACAATAACAGCATAAAGTGGTTGACATTGGTATTTCATGTTAAAAAAAAACATATAGACTCACCAAGTCTCTCTGCTGTTGGTGTCCCCTCTGTGCTCGTTTAGGGTTCATCTCCAGGGTGGCAAATTTGGAGGTGCCCTCCTGCAGAGAGAGAGAGAGAGGAGAATCTGGTTTTACAAAATTGCCTAGAACAGTGCAAAAACCAGATAGGAAACAACTGGTAATGGCCATGATTACAATTTCAGAAGAGTAGACGGGGCTTAACTAATTCACAAATGTATGAGAGGGTGCAGTATGGGCACTGCTGAGTTAGCTCTCATGTTTCTGTGACTGATGCAAACCAGAGGGATTCTTCACCTTATGTAATCAGAGCTTGCAATCCTACACAGGCCTGGTTGGGCTGGCCCATATACAGTCGAAGTCGGAAGTTTACATACACTTAGGTTGGAATCATTAAAACTAGTTTTTTAACCACTCCACAAGTTTCTTGTTAGCAAACTATAGTTTTGGCAAGTCGGTTAGGACATCTACTTTGTGCATGACACAAGTAATCTTTCCAACAATTGTTTACAGACAGATTATTTCACTTATAATTCACTGTATCACAATTCCAGTGGGTCAGAAGTTACATTCCCTAAATTGACTGTGCCTTTAAACTGCTCGGAAAATTCCAGGAAATGATGTCATGGCTTTAGAAGCTTCTGATAGGCTAATTGACATCATTTGAGTCAATTGGAGGTGTACCTGTGGATGTATTTCAAGGCCTACCTTCAAACTCAGTGCCTCTTTGCTTGACATCATGGGAAAATCTAAAGAAATCAGCCAAGACCTCAGAAAAAGAATTGTGGACCTCCACAAGTCTGGTTCATCCTTGGGAGCAATTTTCAAATGCCTGAAGGTACCACGTTCATCTGTACAAACAATAGTACGCAAGTATAAACACCATGGGACCACGCAGCCGTCATACCGCTCAGGAAGGAGACGCATTCTGCCTCCTAGAGATGAACGTACTTTGGTGCGAAAAGTGCAAATCAATCCCAGAACAACAGCAAAGGACCTTGTGAAGATGCTGGAGGAAACAGGTACAAAAGTATCTATATCAACAGTAAAACTAGTCCTATATCGACATAACCTGAAAGGCCGCTCAGCAAGGAAGAAGCCACTGCTCCAAAACCGCCATAAAAAAGCCAGACTACGGTTTGCAACTGCACATGGGGACAAAGATCGTACTTTTTGGAGAAATGTCCTCTGGTCTAATGAAACAAAAATATAACTGTTTGGCCATAATGACCATCGTTATGTTTGGAGGAGAAACGGGGATGTGCTTGCAAGCCGAAGAACACCATCCCAACCGTGAAGCATGGGGGTGGCAGCATCATGCTGTGGGGGTGCTTTGCTGCAGGAGGGACTGGTTCACTTCACAAAATAGATGGCATCATGAGGAAGGACAATTATGTGGATATATTGAAGCAACATCTCAAGACATCAGTCAGGAAGTTAAAGCTTGGTCGCAAATGGGTCTTCCAAATGGACAATGACCCCAAGCATACTTCCAAAGTTGTGGCAAAATGGCTTAAGGACAACATAGTCAAGGTATTGGAGTGGCCATCACAAAGCCCTGACCTCAATCCTATAGAAAATGTGTGGGCAGAACTGAAATGGTGTGTGCGAGCAAGGAGGCCTACAAACCTGACTCAGTTACACCAGCTCTGTCAGGAGGAATGGGCCAAAATTCACCCAACTTATTGTGGGAAGCTTGTGGAAGGCTACCCGAAACGTTTGACCCAAGTTAAACAATTTATAGGCAATGCTGCCAAATACCAATTGAGTGTATGTAAACTTCTGACCCACTGGGAATGTGATGAAAGAAATAAAAGCTGAAATAAATAATTCTCTCTACTATTATTCTGACATTTCACATTCTTAAAATAAAGTGGTGATCCTAACTGACCTGAGAGAGGGAATTTTTACTAGGATTAAATGTCAGAAATTGTGAAAAACTGAGTTTAAATGTATTTGGCTAAGGTGTATGTAAACTTCCGACTTCAACTGTAGATAGAGCAGTAGTGGTAAGTGGGAGCAGAGGTAAGCAGGACAACGCCTTGGGATATCCCTTACAGGCTCATGCATCATTAGGGTGGGCTCTTATCTGTACCTGCCAACTGCCTATGACGTCAGCAGGGATTTCCTCTGAGAAGGCACAGGTTTCCTCCGTCAATTCACAGCCAATGTATAAGTACGTCGGCAAGCACCCCAGGCTTCAATGTTAGGGCCAATTCATATACACGTCTAATAGCCTAGGATAGCCATACGTTTTGGAGAAAACCTCTGCTTTTTCCAATCATAATTGCTTCGTATCATGACATCAAAGCAATTTCACAATTTCACCAGTGAAAGAATATGCTGGCAGTTAAAGAGTAACTTATGCTAAATAGGCATAACAATGGCGAGGGCACTTCCTATTTCTTTGTGCAGGAATGTATTCAGGTGAGCAGACTAAATATGTTTATCTTGGAGGATTCAGATATAACTGAACATGTTGTTCGCTATCTAATCCTCTGTGGGCTTCATCAAAGAGAATCTGATCTGCCTCTAGTCCTGGTAGAAGCACTGAACCTCATGTTGAAAGAGTAAAATATTAATGACTACTGCCACAGCCTACAACGCTGGTGACACGCTCTTCTTCTCCAGGCATGCGGTTACACATATCAAGTCCTCTCGAAACACAAACACACTGATACTTGCACTGGTGGATCTGATACATTTTAGAGAGAACACTACAAGGTAAGATTCTATACTGTGTTGTACAACTCATGATAAATGAGCTAGCAACTGAGATGAGACAAGGTTTTAGCTAGTTTGTCTATTTATTTTCAGGTTGCTATGGAGACCCAGCTCTAGAGATAGAGATGAGGGCCAATAGAGCAGTAATGGGTCAGCCAGCCATATTTCCTGTCAACTACTTAGTTGTCAAAACCCACTTTTGACACAACCACATCCTGTTTTTAAATGCTGTTCATAACCTAAAAGATCTACTAGGTGCTGAGTAACCTTCAGGTCATTTATGCACACAATCGCCTCTACATCCACGTTTTTCCCTATGATCCTTGACCCACCTTGACCAGCAGCTCTCGGCTTAGAGAGTAGTTGTTGTCATCTGAGAAGATTTCTGACAGCTCACGGAAGGTGCGGAAATTCTCTCTGTTGGCAGAATAAGTCAAATAGGTCAAAAGATGAACCTGACATCTCAGTGGCAAAGACAAACCTAAACTGCAAAAAAACTCAAAATAACAATTACATTTTAACCTCTACCATCAACCCAACCATAGACCCATGTCACTAATTATGTTTTTCTTGGTGGTTGAGGAACTTGACCATAAAAAACCCCTGGTTCAATTTATAATCTAATAGTAAACCCTCCACCCCATCCAACTGTTACCCCTCTGTCGCTGATCCCCTGTCTCACCTGGACACCTCATCCCAGGTCCTCTTGAGTCGGTGGAGAGAGTTACACTGCAGGGCAGAGAGGATAGCTCGCAGAGACGAGAAGTTCTTGAGGATCCGACATTCCTAAACACAACAGAAAGAAAAACAGACATGACCAATGACCTACAACTGAAACTAACTGTTGAGTGATTGAGCCAGAGAGTGGGTCTAATGCCTTACCCTGGCCACCTCTATCCAGTGCTCCACCAGTCTGGCCCGCTGTGTGGGCTTCAGACAGGGGTTGCTCAGGCAGGTGCTGATGACACAGTTGGTGACACAGTTGAACTGAGCCACTGTGGCCCGAATGGTGGGGGCCAGGTGCTCCTTCCCCTTCTTATCCCGCTGGGACCAGATGCCCCCCAGGCAGTGGTAGGGGACCACCTTCTTGAACAGATCCTACATGGTGAGGTCAGGGGGGAGGGAGAGAGAATGTAAGGGTAAGTAAGGGTGAGCACAAAGCAGTTGAAATTCAAGTAACTTGAAATCGAGCAGTAAGTTGAAGTTAAGAGGGGAATGTCTCACCGCATCCATGAGTGTGAACTGCTCGGCAACCATGATGGGGTCAAAGGAAAGTAAGTTCAGGGCAGGAAGCTCATCCTCAAAGACACTCTCTTCCTGCGTGGCGAAAGGACAGCCAATGTGCTCCACTGTAAAGAAAACACAGATGAGCTAATAATCAGACTGCCTAAATGACCGTCTACATTACCAGTTCACCACAGCCCTTAATAAGCATCAGCATCCCCATCATCCCTGATATCTCTGAGACACAGACAAGCACCAGTTTAACCCTATACTGGCTCTCACCATCAAGGTCCGGCTCACACCGATGCCTGTGGTGGAAGAGGTCCAACAGGTTGAGTGCACGGCGCTCCAGGTCAGAGCCAGGGAAGTGTTGGTGCAGGTAGGACATCAGGTGGTGTAGACAGCTATACTGTGGAGGACTCCAGAAGTCCTCTGAGTACTGGTCCAGCCAAGCCCCCAGGATGGACGACACAGTGCTGCAAGACACAACCCAGAGGGAAGAGGCAGGGAATGAGGAGACGTGCAGATGACAGAGAGGGAAGAGTACCTGTGGTACACATGTGCAATCATTGTCCATAAAAAATCTGGTCTCCCCAGATGCTTACTTTCTGAGCTCTGTGTAGTCCTCCTGAGTGTGTCTGTGTACGTCTATACCAGGTTGGTTCTGAAGTTTGGCATACCTAAGACATGAAGGACAACGTTGTACAAAGGGAGCTTACACGTAAACTGTGTATAGTGTGTTTGTGTGTACACATGAATGTGTGGTTTTAGCTTCATAGCTGACCGTCTCTGTACCTGTTGAGTAGGAGGTCCAGCACCTGCTTGGTGGTGGCGAAGGAGCGGTAGGTGCAGAGGAAGATGGTGACGTAGGTGGAGTCCTTGCCCCTGAACGCAGACACCATGTATTCCACCAGCCTTTCCAGCGTGCCAGCCTTAATGGTGCGTACTTTACATGTCTCATACAGGCAGAGAGCAGAGTCTGTCTCCATGCCCAGCCATCGCTGCCCCTTACTAGCCGACTGGTGCAGCTGCACTTTCCTCAGGGTGATGGTGAAGATTGCCCCCTTCTCCACCTCCTCTCCGATCTCCTGTGTCGAGCTCTACAGGAAAAACAAAAAAATGTAGGAAATACACAAACAACGATTGAGATCGGGCCTTTGCTCTCTCTCTCTCTCTCCCTCACTCACTCACTCACTCACACACACACTTAGTGTGTGTACATGTGTGTGTCTATCAGTGGAGGCTGCTGAGGGGAGGATGGCTCATAATGGCTGGAATGGAGTCAATGGAATGGTATCAACCACATAGAAACCACATGTTTGATGTGTTTGATACCATTCCATTGACTCCATTCCAGCCATTATTATGAGCCGTCCTCCCCTCAGCAGCCTCCACTGGTGTATATGCATAAATAACAATACTGTTGCAGCAAACAGAGGTTGCTATAGATACACAGCCCAACAACACAGCACATGCCTTACAAACAAGGAACTAACACAAGCTGCTTGCGCAATGAAAGAGGACACAAAACAGTTCACTGTTGTTGAGTACTGTCACCATTAGTTTTTTTCTCCAGCTCTCCAACCCAGAATGATGTAAACAGTAACGGTCATTTATACTCACACAGTCTGACATAACCACTACATGTAGCAGAATACATTTACATTAAATTTTAGGACTTTACAGTGAGCATCCCAGGCACTTGACCCAGATAGCCAAGCAACATCGGTTTAATCACTTTTTGGCTTCCGACCTCTATGGGGGACTGGTATGTACAGTAATCTGGCATGCCACAGACATTAGTCACACCCTTACTTGTGTATCTGTCACACATTATTAATCAGAACCTTTCAGTAGCTAGATATACAGCAGCGCCTCTCTCATACATCTGCTGTTAGTCATAGCCTACTCTGTACTCTCTCACCTTCAATCACACAGCTGCTCTGTTTGGCTTGGTTTCCATGGAGTGGAGCAGCTGAATTTCCAGTTCAAGTGCTATATTCATACTAACACTGATGCAACCTATTTTTGAACAGAAGTGTTTACTGTATGTTGTTACAAATCAGTTGTTACATGTTTGTATGGCAGAGGCTGAGCACACAAGCATTGGACTTGACAGTGAGAGTAGCCCTTATCAGCTGAGCCACACAGAAATGCTGCTGGCTTATCAATCTAAATCCAATGGAACACAGCCCTGATCTTAACATAAGGGCAACCTTTCACTCTCTACAGTGCCTTGCAAAAAGTATTCATCCCCCTTGGCGTTTTTCCTATTTTGTTGCATTACAACCTGTAATTTAAATTTATTTTTATTTGGATTTCATGTAATGGACATACACAAAATAGTCCAAATTGGTGAAGTGAAATGAAAAAAATAACTTGTTTCAAAAAATAAATAACGGAAAAGTGGTGCGTGCATATGTATTCACACCCTTTGCTATGAAGCCCCTAAATAAAATCTGGTGCAACCAATTACCTTCAGAATTCACATACAGTGGGGAAAAAAAGTATTTAGTCAGCCACCAATTGTGCAAGTTCTCCCACTTAAAAAGATGAGAGAGGCCTGTAATTTTCATCATAGGTACACGTCAACTATGACAGACAAAATGAGATTTTTTTTTCCAGAAAATCACATTGTAGGATTTGTAATGAATTTATTTGCAAATTATGGTGGAAAATAAGTATTTGGTCAATAACAAAAGTTTCTCAATACTTTGTTATATACCCTTTGTTGGCAATGACACGTTTTCTGTAAGTCTTCACAAGGTTTTCACACACTGTTGCTGGTATTTTGGCCCATTCCTCCATGCAGATCTCCTCTAGAGCAGTGATGTTTTGGGGCTGTCGCTGGGCAACACAGACTTTCAACTCCCTCCAAAGATTTTCTATGGGGTTGAGATCTGGAGACTGGCTAGGCCACTCCAGGACCTTGAAATGCTTCTTACGAAGCCACTCCTTCGTTGCCCGGGCGGTGTGTTTAGGAACATTGTCATGCTGAAAGACCCAGCCACATTTCATCTTCAATGCCCTTGCTGATGGAAGGAGGTTTTCACTCAAAATCTCACGATACATGGCCCCATTCATTCTTTCCTTTACACAGATCAGTTGTCATGGTCCCTTTGCAGAAAAACAGCCCCAAAGCATGATGTTTCCACCCCCATGCTTCACAGTAGGTATGGTGTTCTTTGGATGCAACTCAGCATTCTTTGTCCTCCAAACATGACGAGTTGAGTTTTTACCAAAATGTTCTATTTTGGTTTCATCTGACCATATGACATTCTCCCAATCCTCTTCTGGATCATCCAAATGCACTCTAGCAAACTTCAGACGGGCCTGGACATGTACTGGCTTAAGCAGGGGGACACGTCTGGCACTGCAGGATTTGAGTCCCTGGCGACGTAGTGTGTTACTGATGGTAGGCTTTGTTACTTTGGTCCCAGCTCTCTGCAGGTCATTCACTAGGTCCCCCCGTGTGGTTCTGGGATTTTTGCTCACCGTTCTTGTGATCATTTTGACCCCACGGGGTGAGATCTTGCGTGGAGCCCCAGATCGAGGGAGATTATCAGTGGTCTTGTATGTCTTCCATTTCCTAATAATTGCTCCCACAGTTGATTTCTTCAAACCAAGCTGCTTACCTATTGCAGATTCAGTCTTCCCAGCCTGGTGCAGGTCTACAATTTTGTTTCTGGTGTCCTTTGACAGCTCTTTGGTCTTGGCCATAGTGGAGTTTGGAGTGTGACTGTTTGAGGTTGTGGACAGGTGTCTTTTATACTGATAACAAGTTCAAACAGGTGCCATTAATACAGGTAACGAGTGGAGGACAGAGGAGCCTCTTAAAGAAGAAGTTACAGGTCTGTGAGAGCCAGAAATCTTGCTTGTTTGTAGGTGACCAAATACTTATTTTCCACCATAATTTGCAAATAAATTCATTAAAAATCCTAGAATGTGATTTTCTGGAATTTTTTTTCTCAATTTGTCTGTCATAGTTGACGTGTACCTATGATGAAAATTACAGGCCTCTCTCATCTTTTTAAGTGGGAGAACTTGCACAATTGGTGGCTGACTAAATACTTTTTTCCCCACGCAGTTCACTGTTGTTGAGTACTGTCACCATTAGTTTTTTTCTCCAGCTCTCCAACCCAGAATGATGTAAACAGTAACGGTCATTTATACTCACACAGTCTGACATAACCACTACATGTAGCAGAATACATTTACATTACATTTTAGGACTTTACAGTGAGCATCCCAGGCACTTGACCCAGCCAAGCAACATCGGTTTAATCACTTTTTGGCTTCCGACCTCTATGGGGGACTGGTATGTACAGTAATCTAGCATGCCACAGACATTAGTCACACCCTTACTTGTGTATCTGTCACACATTATTAATCAGAACCTTTCAGTAGCTAGATATACAGCAGCGCCTCTCTCATACATCTGCTGTTAGTCATAGCCTACTCTGTACTCTCTCACCTTCAATCACACAGCTGCTCTGTTTGGCTTGGTTTCCATGGAGTGGAGCAGCTGAATTTCCAGTTCAAGTGCTATATTCATACTAACACTGATGCAACCTATTTTTGAACAGAAGTGTTTACTGTATGTTGTTACAAATCAGTTGTTACATGTTTGTATGGCAGAGGCTGAGCACACAAGCATTGGACTTGACAGTGAGAGTAGCCCTTATCAGCTGAGCCACACAGAAATGCTGCTGGCTTATCAATCTAAATCCAATGGAACACAGACCTGATCTTAACATAAGGGCAACCTTTCACTCTCTACAGTGCCTTGCAAAAAGTATTCATCCCCCTTGGCGTTTTTCCTATTTTGTTGCATTACAACCTGTAATTTAAATTTATTTTTATTTGGATTTCATGTAATGGACATACACAAAATAGTCCAAATTGGTGAAGTGAAATGAAAAAAATAACTTGTTTCAAAAAATAAATAACGGAAAAGTGGTGCGTGCATATGTATTCACACCCTTTGCTATGAAGCCCCTAAATAAAATCTGGTGCAACCATTACCTTCAGTTAAATAAAGTCCACCTGTGCGCAATCTAAGTGTCACATGATCTGTCACATGATCTCAGTATATATACACCTGTTCTGAAAGGCCCCAGAGTCTGCAACACCCCTAAGCAAGGGGCACCACCAAGCAAGCGGCACCATGAAGACCATGGAGCTCTCCAAACAGGTCAGGGACAAAGTTATGGAGAAGTACAGATCAGGGTTATAAAAACATATCAGAAACTTTGAACATCCCACAGAGCACCATTAAATCCATTATTAAAAAATTGAAAGAATATGGCACTACAACAAACCTGCCAAAACTCATGAACCAGGCAAGGAGGGCATTAATCCGAGAGGCAACAAAGAGACCAAAGTTAACCCTGAAGGAGCTGCAAAGCTCCACAGCTGAGATTGGAGTATCTGTCCATAGGACCACTTTAAGCCGTACACTCCACAGAGCTGGGCTTTACAGAAGAGTGGCCAGAAAAAAGCCATCGCTTAAAGAAAAAAATAAGCAAACACGTTTGGTGTTCGCCAAAAGGCATGTAGGAGACTCCCTAAACATATGGAAGAAGGTACTCTGGTCAGATGAGACTAAAATTGAGCTTTTTGGCCATCAAGGAAAACACTATGTCTGGCGCAAACCCAACACCTCTCATCACCCCGAGAACACCATGCCCACAGTGAAGCATGGTGGTGGCAGCATCATGATGTGGGGATGTTTTTCCATCGGCAGGGACTGGGAAACTGGTCAGAATTTAAGGAATGATGGATGGCGCTAAAGACAGGGAAATTCTTGAGGGAAACCTGTTTCAGTCTTCCAGAGATTTGAGACTGGGACGGAGGTTCACTTTCCAGCAGGACAATGACCCTAAGCATACTGCTAAAGCAACACTCGAGTGGTTTAAGGGGAAATATTTAAATGTCTTGGAGTGTGTTTGAGGCATTTCTGCATAAACCTTTATTTTGCGGATTAATGCCTGTTATTCTGTGATTTCCCCTCCTGCGCCTGACTCCTTCAACACCACCTCATCACAGGTATAACTTAAAGATTGCTGTCCACCAGCAGAACCCATCCAACTTGAAGGAGCTTGAGGCTCCCAGTGGCTAGATGTGCCAAGCTTATAGAGACATACCCCAAGAGACTTTCAGCTGTAATTGCTGCAAAAGGTGGCTCTACAAAGTATTGACTTTGGACGGGGGGTGTTATGCACGCTCAAGTTTTCTGTTTTTTTGTCTTATTTCTTGTTTGTTTCACAATAAAACATATTTTGCATCTTCAAAGTGGTAGGCATGTTGTGTAAATCAAATGATACAAACCTCCCAAAAATCAATTTTAATTCCAGGTTGTAAGGCAACAAAATAGGAAACATGCTAAGAGGGGTGAATACTTTCGCAAGCCACTGTATGTTCATGGAACATGGCCTCAAATCAGTGCTATTCAGATCCACCAGGTCTTGAATAATGAATGAATGAAAAGAAGAAAGAAACCATAATCGTACTGTAAATGTAGATTAAAGGGTTTAGATAACATTACGTTTGTATGGAAAACTCTATTTGTGTAGTCAGTGTATGTGTATACAGTGATGAACTGTGGTTGCCTGTGGTCTGGCTGTGCCTCACATGACCTATTTACAACTGCGGAAAAGTCAGGGGACTCTCCGAGGCCTCCAGACACCAGGTTACCATGGAAACAAGAGGAAACTCCCAGAGAGCCACAGGAACAGGGCATAAGTAACGAGAACAGCTTCCCCCATTTAGCCTTAACCAGTCGTATCCCCTCTCTGCCTGATTCATAGCTTAGTCAGAGACAGAGGTGGCATGGGAAGCCCTAGTAGTGTACCTTTGGTCTCAATTCCACTTTTCTGTAGTTCTAACACAAAAAGAGCCAATCATCACACACATACAATATATAGATGTAGGATCTTAATTCGAGCCAGTTTGCTACAGCAGGAAAATAATCCTGCAGCAACAGGAAATGTTAATTATTATGTGGATTGTAATTAATGGACATTTTTGTAAGGGAAAATCAAGTCTGAAATTTCAGAAGCCTTTTTAAATCTGTGAGTACTCGTTCATATGATAATTGTATTATTTAGCAGACACTCTTATCCAGAGCGACTTACATGAGCAAGTAGGGTTAAGTGCCTTGCTCATAGGGCACATTGACAGATTTTTCACAGAGTCGGCTCAGGGATTAGAACCAGCGACCTTTCGATTACTGGTACAACGCTCTTAACCACTAAGCTACCTGCCACCCCACAAGGGTGTGATGATGACACGATATACTAGACAATGGTGGGAAATCTCTAATAGGGAAGAAAGGAAAGGAGACTCATCAGTTTATCAGAAAGCGAAATCTAACTGGAAAGACCATCAAAAACGAAAGAATGAAAACTAGCCTTTAATGGGCAGGCCAGGGACCTCTCTGTAACCACAACAACTGCAACATTTGAATTGGTTCCATTTCGCAAGCTCACTTTTTATGCAATACTGTGTCCGAATGAAAACTTCATTGGGGAACTTTTTCTGTCAATGCAAGTCAACAATGAGTGGTCATATTCATGTTCTCATCTATGTACTATGCATCCCATCCATAAAACATCCATGTACAGCTTCAGATAATTTTTTCTAGAGCATAATCTTAACTATAATCACAAATATCCACACAAGTTACACAAACTTTGCAGAAAATGTCCCATAGACATCAAAACACACACAAAACAACAACCAAGTATGTAATTAACTATTCAGAGGGAGAATATGATTTGCTATTGACTTATTTGTTTGACAAATTATATGTCCAATTTGTTCACTACCACATATGTAGAAATACTCTTTAAATTCCTAAGCCCTAATATTTTAATTATTGCATGATTAACAATAACACTTTTCAATTTTGGTCCGCCATCTTTTACCAAGGAGAATTTGTGCCAGTATAACCAGTTTAATCACTTCGATTGCCCTAATAAACTCAAAACTGAAATAAAAGTGCAGTACTTTATCATCATAACAATATATTGGCTAGAAGACTATGCATCATGGCTAATGGACTAGGGCCAAAGGAAGGACACACTTATACAGAGTGATGACATCATCCACAAGACAAAGTGGCTCCTCCTCTCTACCCTTGGTTGTACCACTATCAGTAATTTAATATTTCAGATGACAGAGTGACTATAACAGTTTCAATCTTATGCCAAGCCTGTGACACAGCACTCCTGAGATAGACCGAGTTATCTACAGACTCTCACTACACCACTGTTTCAGCTCAAGGATGTATAACTGTATAGGGAATACAGGGGCTATAGGGGCACTAAAGCGATCAATGGCCATTGGCTGAAGTGTCAAATTAATTTCAGTGTACTGAGTTTCTTTGTACACAACTGAACCATTGAATTCCAATACTGTACATTCACCATGCTTTCTCAGCTGAAGGAAAAGAATGGCTGTGATTGTAGTGGCGAGGGGGATTAAGCATTAGGTAATTGTGTTACTGGAGGGGATTAGATTAGAGGAGAGAGAGAGAGGGTTAGTACATGTAGGAGTGGAGACTGAATTGCCCTCTCTAAGCTTGTTACATGTACAAATGATGGAAACATACTGTCTTTAATAACAATGGAGCGTTTGAGTTCCAGCCTTTAGTTTCACAAGCTTGGTGAAACTCTTAAGGCAGCATTTATTCTTCAGAATGATATTGAACATATTTAGAAACATGCATGCCAGAAGGTGGTGTTACTGGTAACATACAGCACACACACACACACACACACACACACACACACACACACACACAGGTTGTATAAGCACTATCCCAGAATTACAGATGTTTTGCCTGCCAATTCTTGATCTGATGTAACAACTAACAACATTCAATGTCACTGTATCAATTAAGCTCTTGTCCTCATCTGATCTCCTCTGATCGAAGGAGGCATTATGCAAGGCCAACCAATTTGATTAGTCATCCCCATTGCTTTCTTTGCAGCAACTTCTCAGTGAAAAACAACTGTTAAAGGTACAGACCCATAGTATAATATATGCTGAAGTATTCGTACTTCTTTACACTTTCCCCATATGCCTATAAGGCCAATATTGAGCATCAGCAGATAGCAGCCATATAGAAACTCTGAAACATCACTATGAACTTCAGTAGGCCTACATGTTATACATTTTGATAAGAGTCAAATCACTAGGATACTACCACACCCCACATGTTCAGTTTAGTGACACTAGCTATAGGACATGAGCCTATAATTACTGACTCAGTATTGATGGAGAGTTCTTTACGCACAGCTCACTGGCTTACCTCAAATAGTGGTAGTTCAGGGTCCAAATGGGTAAAACTGTGAAGGACCACAGTTTCTGCTCAAGGATGTATAACTGTATAGGGATTACAGGGGCTATAGGGGCACTAAAGCGATCAACGGCCATTGGCTGAAGTGTCAAATTAATTTCAGTGTACAGAGTTTCTTTGTACACAACTGAACCATTGAATTCCAATACTGTACATTCACCATGCTTTCTCAGCTGAAGGAAAAGAATGGCTGTGATTGTAGTGGCGAGGGGGATTAAGCATTAGGTAATTGTGTTACTGGAGAGGATTAGATTAGAGGAGAGAGAGAGAGGGTTAGTACATGTAGGAGTGGAGACAGAATTGCCCTCTCTAAGCTTGTTACATGTACAAATGATGGAAACATACTGTCTTTAATAACAATGGAGCGTTTGAGTTCCAGCCTTTAGTTTCACAAGCTTGGTGAAACTCTTAAGGCGGCATTTATTCTTCAGAAGGATATTGAACATATTTAGAAACATGCATGCCAGAAGGTGGTGTTACTGGTAACATACAGCACACACACACACACACACACACACACACACGGGTTGTATAAGCACTATCCCAGAATTACAGATGTTTTGCCTGCCAATTCTTGATCTGATGTAACAACTAACAACATTCAAAGTCACTGTATCAATTAAGCTCTTGTCCTCATCTGATCTCCTCTGATCGAAGGAGGCATTATGCAAGGCCAACCAATTTGATTAGTCATCCCCATTGCTTTATTTGCGGCAACTTCTCAGTGAAAAACAACTGTTAAAGGTACAGACCCATAGTATAATATATGCTGAAGTATTCGTACTTCTTTACACTTTCTCCATATGCCTATAAGGCCAATATTGAACATCAGCAGATAGCAGCCATATAGAAACTCTGAAACATCACTATGAACTTCAGTAGGCCTACATGTTATACATTTTGATAAGAGTCAAATCAATAGGATACTACCACACTCCACATGTTCAGTTTAGTGACACTAGCTATAGGACATGAGCCTATAATTACTGACTCAGTATTGATGGAGAGTTCTTTACGCACAGCTCACTGGGTTACCTCAAATAGTGGTAGTTCAGGGTCCAAATGGGTAAAACTGTGAAGGACCACCGGGCTTTCGTCCTCTCCAACCTCCAGCTTTACCCCATCCCAAATATTGCGCACCTTCCATGTTCCAGCATCAAACATCTCATCGAGGTATCCCGATTTGATGTTTTGCGCATCGGAGTACATCCCCATAAAGTGGACCATTAGTAAAGGATACGATTACGACAGTCAATAGCTGCTGTGACAACCTATCTTGGTCGTACATCCATAGTTCCTTCGTATGATATTCTACAATAACATTCCTTTTACCATGGACCCAACCACAGAGTAAAAAGCGACTTACATAGACGGAGTATACTACTGTAATAAAGGCGAGCGCCTCGACCTACTGTACTTGAAAATGCATGACTCATTTGCGGAAAGTACCTCATAGCTCCACCTTTCTTATGCTTCACGTCTCTCGGGGAATCGTTGTTACTATTATGTCGCTGTGGAAACCGTCTCCAGAGAAGTTATTGTATATTGAAGATTCATACATCGGTCCGGTTAAAAATGTATTCAATGTATGTATCCATTACGGGCAACAACAGAGGTATTATAAATATAAAAGGATAGAAAACAACTAGAGCGTATATGACACCAAAACCTTAGAATAAATCTAATGGATGGACCATAGTCAGTGAACCATTGCGAAGGCAAGTGAATCCTTTAGATGTTGTGTAACCCCCAGGGAATGGGTGAGTATAACAGTACAACTTCAATTAGTGCTGGGGACTGGGGTATTATTACAACTATGCAATGACTCCTAAGCAATTATCTTGAGGTGAGGCAACAACTATAAATAGCATTCAATACCTTTCTCCTTTTTAGAAAACAGCTGCTTATCTAAAAAATATGATAGGTTTGCAGGTTGTAATATGGCATTATTAGGCTTTTTATGTTCTGTGGATGAGTGTTCATGTCATCTCCAACATTGACTGGACAGACAATTTGGATGGTATTTATCTTGAGTGACACTTCCCTCTGCTGGTCAGAATTGGGCACACTTGGAGCCGCTTAAGAACCAAACATAACTACAACACATTGCAAAATACAATATTCAACAACATACACTTTTCTAAGTGTGAGAAAGAAAATAAAAACAGGTGTGACTGTGAATTGGTTCATTCACATCTGCTTTAACAACAGGGGGTGTTTTCTCCAATACATTCCTGAACCCACATTTTCTCCCATTTCCCATCATTCAGCAGCACAAAATAGAGATTACCGGTGCTGCTATGCTTCAGATTCACAAATCTCTCCCTGAGCAGCTGCATGGGATGAGGAGATACAGAAAGAGAGAGAGAGAGAGAGAGAGAGAGAGAGAGAGAGAGAGAGAGAGAGAGAGAGAGAGAGAGAGAGAGAGAGAGAGAGAGATGGGGTAGTGAAAGGGAGAGTTGTCAGCCTGCAGGTGCAACCAGCTGGCTACCTTTTGCCCTCCTATGATTTAACCACAGTCCACCCTCTTCAATTTGTCAGGCTTCCTGCTTGAATCAATAAACAGTGTTGTTCTGCTATGGCACTGACAGATACCCCAACATGGTTTACTCTCAGGAGAGTGACTTCATCCACATGAACACACGCATGCACACGCGCACACACAACACACACACTTTGCATAATACAGGTAGCCCACTCTACCATAATTGCAATAATTTGAGTTGTCTGACATTTTCAGCCAACCAACACATTCAACCGATAATTCCTGAGGTTGCAATGGCAAGTTAATTTCCCATTATCCATAATTTAGCAAGAATAACCAAGCATAGATTAATCCAGCTTGAAAAGCATCCCTTGTCATCAGCAAATCTACATGTTCTTAACTGACTTGCTTAGTTAAATAAAGGTTAAATACATGACAGTATCTGTTGACTATGAAACAAACTCTTTACAAAAATGATTTAGCTGCTAATTATCAAATTGCTGTTGCTGATCAGAATTTTAAGATGAGATTGCCTGCATCATTCCATCCTCAGGTCTTTGGTCAAATGCCTCTTCCATGGTGGGTCAGGGCCATGCAACACAGGCCATGGTGTTTTCAGTCTCAGGTCAGTGTTACATGAGTTCAGTCCTTGGACACTCCTCTCCTGACAAGCCCCTGTGAGCAAACAGACCCAGACAGGCAGGTCTCACCACAGGACAACAGGCCTTTTGATCAACCATTAAACATGTGCAAGCTATTCAGAAGAAAAACAAATAATGCTAGTTGATCACAACAATTGTCTTTGTGAGTTAATTGAGAGGAGACCCTGGCCTGTCATTGTGTTTTTGGCCACTCTGAGGACACCTCAGGTTTTGCAATTGTACTATTACTACTAACATATAACTACAAAATACAGAAGCATGATCATATCACACTTAGAACAGAAACAACAAAGCCAAGCTTTGGATAATATGCCACTGCTAAATGTGAGGAACACACACACACTGTATGCACACACGCACATGCTCAAGCTCATAAATTGTTTTCATTTATCAAAGAAACTCAAATCTTCCTGCCGTAACATTGAGTGTAGCAGAGTTGATGCCTACCTTTCGGTCTACTTCTCTGTGTTTCACAGTAATGAAGGCAGCCTGGCACACAGACTGACTCCTACAACAGCCTCCACCCCTCAGCAGTCCACAGGTCCACTGAGCCCACCACATCACTGCTTCCCTCAGAACCAGGGAATAAGACTGGAGAATTAAACCGGACCGGGACAGAGAACCAAAAGCACGGCTTAGAGCTCTCCCCTCCCCAGTCACAGATTGGGTGACCACCTCTGGCCCACTCCAGCGGGTGTTTACTTAAACAGCTGTGTCCACACGCAAGAAACCGAACAATAAAATATTAACTTCTGAAATTATTCACACCCCTTGACTTCTTCCACATGTTGTTGTATTACAGCCTGAATTTAAAATGGATAAAATGGATATTTGTTGTCACTGGCCTACACACACTACCCCATAATGTCAAAGTGGAATTATGTTTTTCAAAATGTTTACCAATTAATTAAAAATGAAAATGTGAAATGTCTTGAGTCAATAAGTATTCAACCCTTTTGTTATGGCAAGCCTAAATAAGTTCAGGAGAAAAAAATTGCTTAACAAGTCACATAATAAGTTGCATGGACTCACTCTGTGTGCAATAATAGTGTTTAACATGATTTTTGAATGACTATCTCATCTCTGTACCCCACACATACAATTATCTGTAAGGTCCCTCTGCCAAGCAGTGAATTTCAAACACATTTTCAACCACAAAGACCAGGGAGGGCACCTATTGGTAGATTGGTAAAATTTAAAAAAAAGCAGACATTGATTATCCCTTTGAGCATGGTGAAGTTATTAATTACACTTTGGATGGTGTATCAATACACCCAGTCACTAAAAAGATACAGACACTAACCCTAACTAAATTGCTGGAGGGATTTCACCATTTATTTTTTTATCTTTGCAGTGGGGAAAAAAAGTATTTAGTCAGCCACCAATTGTGCAAGTTCTCCCACTTAAAAAGATGAGAGAGGCCTGTAATTTTCATCATAGGTACACGTCAACTATGACAGACAAAATTAGAAAAAAAAATCCAGAAAATCACATTGCAGGATTTTTTATGAGTTTATTTGCAAATTATGGTGGAAAATAAGTATTTGGTCAATAACAAAAGTTTCTCAATACTTTGTTATATACCCTTTGTTGGCAATGACACAGGTCAAATATTTTCTGTAAGTCTTCACAAGGTTTTGACACACTGTTGCTGGTATTTTGGCCCATTCCTCCATGCAGATCTCCTCTAGAGCAGTGATGTTTTGGGGCTGTCGCTGGGCAACACAGACTTTCAACTCCCTCCAAAGATTTTCTATGGGGTTGAGATCTGGAGACTGGCTAGGCCACTCCAGGACCTTAAAATGCTTCTTACGAAGCCACTCCTTCGTTGCCTGGGCGGTGTGTTTGGGATCATTGTCATGCTGAAAGACCCAGCCACGTTTCATCTTCAATGCCCTTGCTGATGGAAGGAGGTTTTCACTCAAAATCTCACGATACATGGCCCCATTCATTCTTTCCTTTACACGGATCAGTCGTCCTGGTCCCTTTGCAGAAAAACAGCCCCAAAGCATGATGTTTCCACCCCCATGCTTCACAGTAGGTATGGTGTTCTTTGGATGCAACTCAGCATTCTTTGTCCTCCAAACACGACGAGTTGAGTTTTTACTAAAAAGTTATATTTTGGTTTCATCTGACCATATGACATTCTCCCAATCCTCTTCTGGATCATCCAAATGCACTCTAGCAAACTTCAGATGGGCCTGGACATGTACTGGCTTAAGCAGGGGGACACATCTGGCACTGCAGGATTTGAGTCCCTGGCGGCGTAGTGTGTTACTGGTGGTAGGCTTTGTTACTTTGGTCCCAGCTCTCTGCAGGTCATTCACTAGGTCCCCCCGTGTGGTTCTGGGATTTTTGCTCACCGTTCTTGTGATCATTTTGACCCCACGGGGTGAGATCTTGCGTGGAGCCCCAGATCGAGGGAGATTATCAGTGGTCTTGTATGTCTTTCATTTCCTAATAATTGCTCCCACAGTTTCTTCAAACCAAGCTGCTTACCTATTGCAGATTCAGTCTTCCCAGCCTGGTGCAGGTCTACAATTTTGTTTCTGGTGTCCTTTGACAGCTCTTTGGTCTTGGCCATAGTGGAGTTTGGAGTGTGACTGTTTGAGGTTGTGGACAGGTGTCTTTTATACTGATAACAAGTTCAAACAGGTGCCATTAATACAGGTAACGAGTGGAGGACAGAGGAGCCTCTTAAAGAAGAAGTTACAGGTCTGTGAGAGCCAGAAATCTTGCTTGTTTGTAGGTGACCAAATACTTATTTTCCACCATAATTTACAAATAAATTCATAAAAAATCCTACAATGTGATTTTCTGGATTTGTTTTTCTCAATTTGTCTGTCATAGTTGACGTGTACCTATGATGAAAATTACAGGCCTCGCTCATTTTTTTAAGTGGGAGAACTTGCACAATTGGTGGCTGACTAAATACTTTTTTCCCCCACTGTATTTAACTAGGCAAGTCAGTTAAGAACAAATTCTTATTTACAACACCAGCCAAACCCGGACAACGCTGGGTCAATTGTGCACCGCCCTATGGGACTCCCAATCACAGCCAGTTGTGATACAGCCTGGAATCGAACCAGGGGGTCTGTAGTGACACCCCAAGCACAGAGATGCAGTGCCTTAGACCACTGCGCCACTCGGGAGCCAGTGGTGACTTTAAAACAGTTACAGAGTTTAATGGCTGTGATAGGAGAAAACTGAGGATGGATCAACAACTAACCTAATTGACAGA